TATATATATATATATATACATATACACACATATATATATACACACACACACACACACACACACACACACACACATATATAGTAAAAAAGTAATGAGAATCAAGTTTATGTATGCCTTATCATGACTTACATGTTTACATGTCACTGAATACCTGAAAATACTGGGAATGAAGTGCAAGTGACCAATTAGCACTGTACTCCTCCACTCCAGTATACATTTTACCAATAAGATCTATTCTCAGTGCACACAACCCATATCCCAGTATCCATGCCACCAATTACATTTGGACAATACACACAATCACTCCCAAACACCTCCCTCTTTCCTTATCTCTGTGTTTTTATATGGGGTTCAACAAGATAAGCACATATTGCATTTAATGAGATTTTCCTCATAAAATACAAAAAAGTAACCAAACTTACTCTACAGGCCACATCTATTTTCATGTTATTAGGTCCAAAAAGAGTTGGAGGTTGTTTGTGATGGTCTTGACTTTTTTCCAAATTCTCACACCTCTGCAGGAATTTTGTAATCTCCATCTGAAGTTCAATAGTATTAATGTGCCTATAAAACAATAAATTGAAAGTCTTGTTCAAAATCTAGTTTAGACTATAAAACATGATTTTTGTCTACCTGTAAATCTGTTTCTTGGAATAAACAAAGTATTTATAATCTGTTTCCCATTCATGTTACAATGGGAAACAGAAACTATAATACATAAAAAAAAAAATGTAGGAACTATTAATATATGAAAGATTCATTGTGTCAAAGTATTATCCACATGAACGACAGGACCCAAGGTCTCCCAGAAGAACATTGCCCAAGGCATCACAGTGCCTTTGCTAGCTTGCCTTCTTCCCCCAAGTAAGTGATTTACATGCACCCGGGCATCCACATGATATAAAAGAAAACAAGATTCATCAGACCAGGCCACCTTCTTCCAGTGCCCCAAGGCCCAGTTCTGATGCTCACGTGCCCATTGTAGGCGCTTTTGGCAGTGGACTGGGTTCAGCATGGGCACCCTGACTGGTCTGCAGCTATACAGCCCCAGGATAATATTGTTCTTCTTTTATTGCTTGCCGCTTGTATATTGTGTTTTACTGGAGCAGTGTGTATAATATATTTTGTTTCTTGGAGTACTTTAATGAGACACAGGGAGTTACATTCTCAACCACTGGATTATGCAGCTACCTTCAGGTGATTGGAAACTTGCACAGCAATCAAAGCTGCAGGACAGCCCTGGATAACCCATCCCACTCCCAGCCTGCCTCAGTTTTGTAGCAACCAGTAGAGTGTGGGTCACAGATTAAAGAGTGTCCTGTAATGTACTGCCAGTTTTCCACACCTCTAATGTGCATGGCAGACAGGACCGGAATGCAAATTTCCACCCATGCCAGAATCAGATCCGCTTATCTGTAAACTGCTTGACTTCTGGTGCCTCCTTGATGGTTGATGTACATCACAGTTGTGGCATTTTCTGACTAAATCCTTGTCAGATGACCCTGCAACTGGGAGGTCCAGCATTGAAGAGACAACTGAACAACCCTGAGTGCCATGTTTTTTTTTTATTGGGAGATGAGACTCCTCTGATGACCAGGTCCTCTGAGAGGCACTCCAGGACTACACCCCAGCCTGATAGGTTGGTATCTTTTGCGAGTACCTTCCAAGTAATTTCTCTGACCTTAGAGCCAGGCAAGCTTTATCTTGCTGGACAGAAGGATGGGGAGATAGAGGTGTTGAATCTGTTTGTCCTACACAATTAGGATGTTGAGCTGCAATGACCTGGAGTGAAACATAAACATAAAGAAGTGCCTCAAAGGATGATGAGGCCCAGGTACTCCAAGTAATGGGAAAGCGATTTCCAGAGATTCATGGACCACCTCTGTAGGGTCTGTATCATCTGCTGGATTTTGAACACTGGGACTTGTGCCAACAGTCAATTTATAACATTTGTATCATGTGTTTTTTCTGGATTTGTGGTTGGTATTCTGTCTATTATTTAAAATACACCTTTGATAAAAAATGGTAGACCTTTCATTTCTTTGTAAGTGGGCAAACTTACATAATCTGTATGAGATCAATTATTTTGCTCACTGTAAGGACGCTAGCAAAAAACTAAGGAAAGGCTAAGAGTTGGGGGGTTTATGCAGGACTGTGCTGCAGTTTTAATATATTTCCCAGTGTCTAATCACCTAAAGGTAGCTGCATAACTCAGCGCCTAATGAATTTAACTTCCTGTGTCCTGTGATGCACCATCAAGAAACAATATTCAAAGCAGAACTACAGCTCCTTACCCTTTACAGCCAAGGAAGGTGCCAACTTTCCTCTATTTGGATTGCAGTTGCGCCATGGTGCTGAACATGTGATCAGCTATGACACCAGCCATTTGAAGGCTTGAAAGTTCAATTGAGAGCTTAAATTAGCACACAGGCAACCTTGAAAGTTGCCTTGCCTTGAAAGTAGCTGTTTTGGGGGGACCATAAAATTGTTGGGCCCGCTTTGACAGTCTTGGTCGATCAAAAAACAATAATTAGCAATCTTGTTTATCATCATTTTTCTTTTGAATTGAGGCTTTTCTACAGAGTTTAAAAAACAAAGATTGGTAGAGGGTTAAAAAGTCATCAGAAATCTCTTTATTAGAGACAGAGAAAGCAACAAAAAATACTTTTTTAGTAGAGTCCGGAAGTGTGAGAATTCGTCAGGTTGGTCTGCAAATGTCTTCCAGTACCGTGAAACCCATTTCCCTAATTTGTTGTTGATGGTGTCACCAGTAGAGAAAGTGAGGATGAATCCCACCAATGGGGTCACAGATAGCAATAGAAAAAATACCAACCAAAAGTTATAACCCCAACTCTATTCAAAACTTAAAAGCAGGATTTGGACTTTAAAATGCAAAAAGGCTTGTACAGAGATGGTTGCTTTATGCCAAACCAATTTGGCAATGTTACCAGAACTTTGTTTGATGTAAAGCATAAATTCTACAGGTACATTTTCAATAAATGTGTGCACTTTCTCATTACACGCTGCCTGGCTCCCTGATTGGCCGGTAAGCCGGCTCCACGTTCCCTCGCGTCATTGCCAGTCAGAGGAAATATCCCTCCAACCGGAAGTTCCGGTATACTGGGGTAAGTATCGGAGCATTTGGGCAAGTACAAGTACTGACGCAAATACTCGGTATCGGCCCCAATACTAGTATCGGTATTGGTGCATCCCTAGTTTTTCTATGTGTTGTTAATTAAATTTGGTACAAGTCTTTGAAAAATTTATCTTAGAGTCTATTTTAGATGGGCTAAAGACCTAGGTTAGGATACTGCACGCGTTAAATCTGGATATGGTAAAATGGCACGTTGGATGGGGCTTTTCCGGTTTATAACAGAACACATATTGTATCAAACCATAAAATATAACATGTTTATTTCTCCTTTTTAAACAACATCCACAAATGAAAACATTCTTCGTAAATAAAAAAATTCCTATAAACCATAGTCTCTTGTAAAGACGGCACTGATAATAGCTCTCCTTTGTCGTGTATCACAGTAGTAATCCCACTATGCAAGAACTTGAAGCTTCAGAAAGTTGATAGCACTGGGCTGGTTTATGGAGGGGTTATATAATCTGTTCCACAGTTCTGTCTGCCAGTGTCCAAACACCTCAGGGTAGTTGCACATAACCCAGGGTCTATGATTAAAGGAGCCTGTATACTATTTTGTGGGGGGGATGGGGTGAAGGTTCTAGAAGCATCAGTGCAGAAGGGCACACAGTCTTGTCTAGTAATGTAGAAAGGTACCAATGTATATACCTGGAGAATCTGAAGATACACAGACAAGTGTTGGACTTGGTGGATAGGATAACCGCAGTGTATTGGATAAATTACCAGCAGTGCAGATTTTTGTATTATTCTCTGATCTCTAATGGATAGCATAATGGCATATTGGGTGTACTGGAAGCAACACAGATTTTTCATTATTTACTCATCTTTAAGAACTTTATACAGCTACACATCAAGACTTATTGAAATCAAACTGCTATTTAGCTCACTTGTACCTGGAAATATCAGCTGCAGACATTTTTTTTCTAAATGTGTCAAACGATTTTCTTCTGTTGCTTCTGGATACCTCTTGCAAGTATATTTTTAGGTGCTCCTTGGATTTTACCAACCACTTCTGATTACCACCCAAATCATGGTAGGTCTTAGCTTTGTGAGAGAAAAAACGTATGCAGGTCATCGCTGCACGCACATGGTCCTGTTAAAATAGGGTAAATTGGTGAAAGCAGTTAAATGAAGCAGATCTTCGCTGCATGCACATGGTCCTGGTACATAGAATACATTGCTAAAAAAACAACAACAAAAAAATATATCGACACTGTATATACACACACACACACACACACACACACACACACACACACACACACACACACAGAGTGGCCAGATTATTATGACCACCTGACGTTTGTAGGCAAATTAGCTATAATTTTGCGCTGAAGTTGCTAGAGGGCCAGACCATTATAAATAGGGATGCAGGTTGTTTACCACGACAGTAGAAGTTATTTTTTTTCTGAAGATATGGGTAAACAACGCGATTTAACAGCCTTTGAACGTGGGATGATTGTTGGCGCTCAAGCAATGGAGCGAGTATCAGCAAAACAGCAGAATTCGTTAAATGTTCAAGAGTGGGCAAGGACAATGCTCCTCCTGGTGCATGATGTCAGTGATGTGTTTCCTCTGGTGTAATCGTCACCTCAGTCATACAGTTGGCTGTGGACGTTGAAAGAGGTATGCAGCTAACTGACACAGCACACAAGGGTCTAGAAAGCACCATGAGACAGAGTCCAGTGCCGGCTCAGAGCCTGGAGGCCACATACTGTACCAGGATGTCTTTGTTATATCCAGAGTCTTCAGAGACTGGGTCATGGACCTGGAGAGTTCTCTGTGGCTAACACAATACGCAAAGGTCTAGAAAGTGCCACAAGCAGAATTCAGTGCCCAGAGGTCACATTCCAGGCTAGCCCTGAAATCTTTGGTTCAACCGGGTCCGAGTACAGCCTCTGGATAGCTGCTGTATTGAGACCAGAACAAGAAGCATTTTAAATATCTTTATTGAAGAAAAAAGTATTTAGCATACGGTGTTGTGGATCGAGTATGTTGATAATAGAGATGAAAATGCTAAAAATATAGTTAGACATTTTCTTCAGCGGAGCCTTCTGGACTCAAAATATTGAGCCATGACGATTGGAAGCGGGGTTTTAAAAGGGGTTGGCATACCTTTGTTTTTTTGTTTGCCAACATCCCAACCTCCTGAAGGTGGCAGTATAACCCATTTGTTCAAGATTGTCTACTATTTCTGTGTCCTTCAAAAGACAATAGAGAAATGTAGCTAAATTCGTATTCCATTAAAGATTTATTTCACATCAGGTTTTGCGCCAAAAAAACTTCAGGCTCTGTTCACACCTGCTGTGTGTGAATGTGTTTGTGTTGGTGGCTGTTCACACAACACCGTGAAAATACGTGATGTGTTTGCAGTGCTATTATTTGTTAATAGCACCCAAAATGCAGCCGGAAAAATACGCATCTTTGCCCAGGCACTGACATGCGTCAAACGCGCAAAAACACATGTGAACCTCGCAGCTCAAACGATTGCATGAGCTTCGTTGCTGAACTTCTCGCATGTAGGGCAGCCCACTGAAACGAATGGGCTGGAACATGGCAAATGTGGACAAATGCAATGTGCGATCATGTGTGCCGAGAGTGTGAAAGGGGCCTCATAACTTTAAGGAAAATGATTGTCTGACAAAAGCATCAACCTACTTTCATAAACTGTTGGATTTCATACAGGATGTTGTAGAAATTTTTCTTTTGCAGATGTCTACAGGCTTCAATGAGGTAAGTGCTCCAACTCTCCAGACTAGGGTCAATAGATTCTAACATGTTTTCAAGGCTTTGTAATTTACCACTTTCATAACTTGGCACAAATATACCTTCAATGAAAATATCTCCTGGGCATTCCTGCAAAAAGCATTAACAAAGATAGGTTAGAAAATAAAGAACAGAGAACATCATGTACTGGAACTATGAAAAGTATTTGAATAAGCCTTGCAACACACAAATAAAAAAAATCACAAAACAATTATTTTGTGGTCATCTGACGCCATCAGATGCTAGTCACAGTTTTGCATTCAGCAGCAGTGAAAAACACAATTAAATGTGGCTATAAAACAGTGTAGTCACACCCTGATAACGGTTTTAAATACTACTAGGCTGGATTCATACTACAGTGGTAAAAATACTGCATTTTAGCATGCACTTTGAGTGCCTATTTTACTACACTTTGCTGTGTATTTCCTGGTGTTTGTGTTTTGATTTTGCAGCAAACCATGTTAAAAACTAGGGATGCACCGATACCAAGTACCATACTCGGTACAAGTACAAGTACAGATACTTTTCCAGCTCCAAGACTAGACTAGAGAAAAACTCAGAAGTTAGGAGGCAGCTGTCATTTGTAAGGAGTTTACGGGGCTCCTGGGATTTGTACATCTCTGTTTTAATTTATAATTTTGTTTTTATAAACATATAAGGGATGAACCGATACCATTTTTGCAAGTACAAGTACTGGTACTTGCCCAAGTACTTACAGACACAAGTACTGATACATTTTTGTTTATTGTCATGTGAGTTTTTCTAAAATAATATCGAAGAATGATTTTAGCACACTGGTGGAGCGTAAGAGGCAGGTCCCAGCTGCAACCCCGGTAGTTCTCATGAAAATGCCAAGTGTATCAACCTGTATCTGAATTGGTATTGGTGCATCCCTATTAAAAACTCAGCTAAACACAATAAAAAACATGAGAGTAGCAAAACACTGAAAATGTGTGGTAAAGATGCCCAATAAATAGCAACATTTTTATAAAGGTATTGCATAAATTATGCTTATAAGAGCAGCTACAACTGTTCTGTTAAAGGTTACAGATGGATCCAAAGATGATGTCGTCAAGCTTTAATTTCAGTGGCTTGCAGTTCATGTGCCTGTTCCATTTGGTTTTCTGGACCTGGCCGGAGTCGAGGGTAAGCAGATGTAAATGGACCCATGTCTGTTTAAATCTGGCTGCCCATAGACTTAACCTTGGAGTTTCAATCAGATCCTCCTAAAAAACTGAAAAACGGATAGGCAGACCTGATCAAAACACCGGTTGAAATAGGCCTAAGAGATAGAATGGGCCTTATCAGAGGTCAAAATTAATATCTGCCTAACAGAGATGCTTGGGTTTTGGCACTGCTTCAGCGCTCTAGAATCCATCAAAAGGTATGCACAGACAATTCTAGTTGACTACTTTTGAATCATGCTTGTGGTTAAACAGTTTTACTGTAAGAACAGGAAAACTTTCATTATTTTGTTACACAATCAATCTTATAGGCTCACTTAGGGCATACATAATTTGAGGGCCAGTTCTTACCACCTTAACATAGTTGCTTCGATTTTATATATCTTTTCATAAGTATTATATTCAGAAATGTACATTTTACTAACAATTATAAATGAGAAAAAACAATCTGCTGCCTAGATCACAGATTACCTTGTTTAATAAATGAACCAAAGCATCTCTCATTAGATCATGTCTCATATAGAACTGTATGATTCCAAGGTTTGTGCCATATGTGTGCAAGTAATACAGGCACTCCCGATAATACATGTTATTTTGTATCTTTCCCTCTGGCATCATTTCATACCAAAGACATCTTGCCTTCAGAGTACATTCCAATTCTTTTAATGTGGCAAAATAGTCATCATCTTTCTGCAAGGAAACACATGTTCACAAAAATAAGTTCCCTTATATATAAAGGGATCAATGACATCAATCCCTAAAGACAGAAATGGCTCACCAATAAAATCATTTCAACACTGCATTTACTACATTTGCATTACTCGAGCAGTTTGCAGAGCTGTCTTAACACATCATTCTATTACATTATTACTAGAGTTATAAAAACAAGACTTTTGAATTACCTTAAATACATTAAGAGGCACAGGGTAAAGAAATTCTGGTACATTTGGTTTTGCTGCTGCCTTCAGAAGATGGACACTGGCAAACAAAGCCACAGTTTTGTAGCAAAGCAATAGTAGGAGTGGATCATAATAACATATGAGAGGGATCGGTGCCCCTAATGGACTCCAAGAAAAGGATTTTACAGTAAATCAAACATTTTGTTTCCTTATCATACGGGGTGAAGTAATTCTGGTATATTGTGATGTCCAAAAGCAGGACATCTCAGTGCAAACAATGCTAACAGGCCCACAGGTAACAACAGTTTAAGAGGGGGCTCAAAAAAAACTCACAGAACTGCTTGAAGAACGTCAGCTCAAGCCAGCATCTGATGAGGCCTGAACATCCACCTGATGAAACTTGACAAATATGTGAACAGAAAACCAGATGGTAGCCTTGCAGATCTGAGGAACAGAGGCTTGATGCTGAAAAGCCCCTAAAGCACCATTTGATCTAGTGGAATGCGCTTTCACAGGGAAGGGTGGAACACCATCCTTAAGATTATAGGTTTGAAAGATGGGATGCCAAATTCTCCTGGAGATAGTTGAATGAGAGGCAGGCTGTCCTCTGCAGGGACCCTCAGGAGTCCCTCAGACTGTCTAAAGGAACTAAAAGGAAACTGTAGCTGAGAGACAGCTTTCAACCCACAGAGTACTTTCTTTGATGGAACTTAATTGCCTGGCACCATGCAAAGTATGGCTTTCAGGTGCAATTGTAGATTTTTGTGAGACGTCTATTTCTTAGCCTTTGGGAGTGGAAGTGTTTGGAAGGCATAAACATTTTTATTGGATCAGGCTGGTCACTATACAAAAGAGGCTCCAGTAGTGAGTGCACTGGAAAAGGGGGGCTTTTGAGGAAATTTTAGGGACAGCTGACACATGTTGTTCCAGGTGCACATTGCGTCAGTAAGGACCAAAATGGTAACCATGATTGTACCAACTCACCTAATAGGTATAGGGTACATTTATCCTCCTCTTCAGCTGATCATACAGCTGAAGTCCTGACCTGTTGGAGAAAGGGCAAGGCCTTGAAAGAGGCTACTATCAGACTCAGAACCTGCATGCAAGTCCTTTGTGGAACCCATCTGCAAGGCCTCAACTGATGAACATGGGATTGAAGCTTCTCTGGGGAAGAAACACCCTGGCAATTGTTGTGTCTAGGACCAAACCTAGATACTTCAGGCAATAAGAAGGAATCATCATTGATTGTTTGTTAGGTTCAAAATACAACCGTAATTCTACAGCATGCTCACAGTTATGAACAGATTGGCCTCCAACTTGGACACTGAGTTCGCCTGTAGCAAAAGATCATCCAAACAGACCACAACTGAGATCCTGCAAAGTCTTAGCAGGGCACTGGAGCCAGTACCTTTGTGAACACCCTATAGTGAGAAACTGCATGTGCTTGTTGGCAGGACTGCAGAAGACTACAAGGATCTATATATAGCCAGCTGGTTGCCCAGTCATATCTAGCTTGTCGCCCAGCCTGCTGTTAAAGCATTCCACGATCCAAAGCAAAAGAAAAGAATCCCAGCATGGATTTTCAGGTCCTAATTACTTGACACTACACAAAAAACTGAGGCTGCGTTACCCAATGGTGAGTTGGCCACCAGCAGGGCCTACCCCGAGGATGAGTTTTGTGACTAGCGTCCTACTCCTGCAGGTAGTAGTATAACACAGTGGTCAAAATCTGTCCTTCAATGATTGGAAGGTATACATTTTTTAATAATATACTAAACCATCATTTTTGAAAATAAGACTTTACATGTTCAGTTAAGTTGCTGAAGATTAGTTTATTATTCTGTTATTTAAGTAGATTATTTACTGTTTTGTAAACATTTTCTATAAAAACTAGTAATATGTGTTAAAATAAGTGCCATTGGGTGGTGACATGTAGGAGGGATGTTTGAGCTGGACTGGGCTGTCACTACCACATAGTTGCTCTGTTGTCACTGAGTTGCTATAGTGAGGTCCTGGGTATGTGCAGCTCAAGGGCGTTCTCTGTGGTGTCTCTGTGTATGCGCAGTCCTGGACTGATAAGGCATGTGCGGAGCCCTATCATGGCTAGTTGGTGCAGCGCAGGGGTGGATGCTGGGATGCTGCCCCTCCCTTCCCACCATATGTTTCCACTTGGGCAATCAGGGAGAGACAAGCTGCGTCATACCTCTGGATGCAGCTGGTTTGTACTGGTGAAACCGGTCAGGTTTTGGCCAGCACCTGTTGCACCCACATTCTAGAGGAAAATAATGGGATAAATCTGAGCTAATGCAAGATGAGTACACTTTAAGTTTATGATGTTGGAACTTTCTGACTGTGGGACTATATTATTAGATATATATTGTTGTGACTGGATGGACTTATGCAAGTGTTGAATAATTTTTTTGCTCCACTTCTGATACTTTTGATCATTATTATTATTCAATATATGGGTAACAACTAGCATATGTAAAAATATGGAAATAACTAAATCTATGCAGAAGTGGATTTTCACTTTACAAGTTGAGGATTGCATACCAGCCAGCTATTTAGCATTGGAGTTTGGACTTTACTCTGTATAGTGATTGGGAAATGGAGGTGTGAGGGCTATTTCATACTGTGTTGTGTATACCATGGCCTTTAACATTTCAAGTTTTTCTTGGTAATACAATTAAAAAATATTGCTTTTAGTATGCATAAGATATGTGATACATATTGGGCGTTATTTTTCACAGCATTGAAATTAAGGGGAGTTTATAAAGTCCTTGAGTCATGGTAGATTTTTCTTTTTTTGTTTGCGGTTTATGTACCACTATCAAAATATTAGTAGGCAATATCGAAATTCCTTACCACCAGCAGAATTGGCTTGGCTGCAGATTCCAGGTGCTGAATAATATCTTCTAGGAGTTTAGATCCAACATTCTTTTGGTTCAGATCCAAAGGAGTTTTAGCACACCTACTAAATTTTTCTCTTGCGCCAGGCAAATTGTCAGACTTAAGACACGCCATACCCCAAGCATGCCACGTACCCGAAGTGTCAAGCCCTGTTTTTGTAGACACCTATTTGTTGAAAAGGTGATAAAAATGTACAAAAAAATTACTGGTACACGTTGGCCACTTGTTGGTACTTACATTTCTAGAAGTCAATGCACACTTTAGTGCAAACACAGAAAGTGAAAAAAATTAGACCAATGACATCTGCACTCTAGCACTAAAAACTCACTCCATGCTATCCATGCCACGAGTGATATTTGAACTTCAGCACACCCATTATAATACTGCCAAGGGTGCTTTCAGCTGTCACTTTTTATTCACATTGTTTAAATTTATTTTTATTTTAACAAATTATATTGTAGCCTTAAGCATCTGCATGTAAATGTGGAGATATATATATATATTTATATATATATAATAGACAATTTGGGGTACTGCATTCTGTCGCTGTTTCACGGGGAAAGCAATTTTTAAGCGTTGCATGGTGGATATCTATTTACTCCGCACTACCTCATCTTTTATATTGTACAACAAAAATGGGTATTACATTGTGTTTTTGTGCACTAAAATTAACCTGAACTTATTTTTTCCTGAAATTCTGGTTTTGATAAACAGTTGCAAAAATATAATGCAACATAAAAATTTGTATCTGCCACCAGTTTATTCTACAGTATCTGTGCTTTCAAGAAATATATAACTCTAGGGGGGGTTTAGGTAAACAGCAAAAACAGCTGTCAGCAAAAGGGTTAAATCAGGAAAAAGACAGAGGGGCATATTTAGGCCTTGTTAACACCTGAGCGTTTTTTTACTTGTGAAAACTTGCAAGACAAACTTGCAAGACACACATTTCAATGCAAGTCAATGGCAACTGTTCACACTTTAGCTTTGCGCAAAAAGATGCAGGAGCTATTTTCAGGCGGATGCCGCTGGGTTTCTTCTCTATGCTGTGAGAAACGTGAGTTTTTAAAAGCAAAACCACTGAGAAAAAAAAAACAGATAGCTACTACTTTTTCAGTAAAATAAAATTGTTAAGGCTAATTTTTAACTTTTCCACTGCTAGTTTGATGTCATGACTCCATGTTGAGCTTAGCTTAAGGGCCCATTCACACCAGCCGCTGCACTAAATTGCACAGCAGCTTGTGTGCGGTGCCGATATAGTATGATGCACCAACCCTGGCACATCACACTGTGTAATTTTTTTCAGTGCACACTGCCACATACCACTACAATGTGGTGGTGTAAGTAGTGTCCATCCACAAGAAGGCAAATTGCCTTGTCTTGCATTGGGGCTGCGCTGGAAAAAAAGGCCAGCGCAGCCCTAACGCATATGGTGTGATCATCCTTACACTGAAAATTCTGCCCTGCTGAACCTTATTTTTACCCTTAATGTATTGAAGGTTACAATTTTGTCCCACCTTTCCTCAAGGCGGACAGTTAAAGGAGAACCACTCACCTCATAGTTCTAAGCCGACCTGTGACAATGAGACTGTCACAGGTCGGCTCAGTAGATCGGGAGGTGAGAGAACACATAGCGGGTTCCCTCACCTCTCGATCCTGTCACGGCTCTCTGCCGTGACAGGGGGAGGGGCTGGATTCCCCGCTCCGATCTGCCAGCGCTGACTGGCGGAACGGACGGGGGAGGGGGCGGGTACAGCTGGCTCTGCCTCTAGATAGGCAGAGCGAGCTGTCACTCAAGCAGCTGGGCGGATCCCGTCATCTAAGTCGGGATCCGCTCCAGGTGCGGCGTCTTAGTATACCGCGAGCTGTAGCTCGTGGTATACTGAGCTTAGGGTAACGGGAGGATGCTAGTTTGTGTCCTCCCGTTACCCCAAGGAGAACTATGGGGAAAAACACTGACCCCATAGTTCTCCTTTAAGTGCCTGCAGTCTCTCTTTATATGTTTTATCTATCTAGCCGTGCACAATTTGTGTTGCCTTTCTTGGGTTTTCTCTATCCTGGTGCTTCTCAGCCTTTTTTCAGTCATGGCAAGTATGCAAAAATCTTCAGGCACCCCAGTCTAAAATGTAAATATGTAAATGAAAAAAATAGCCATGTCATACCAGATTTTTATCCCAGATAGGTTTCTGGTATGTATTTTAAAGGGGGACCCCACACAAATACACAAAAACGTAGGGTTTCCATATTCATCTCAGAATCTCCCTCCTTTCACATCAGAGTTCTACCATCACATCATGTAATAGATCCCGGGGACGCCGCCATTCCGAGTCGAGGGGAAGCTCCGCCCCCGGGCCAACAACGTCAGGCAGGACCGCCCATGGCCTCGTCATAAGACGGGACCGCACAACTGTCTGGTGTACCAGCAACCCCATGCGGACGCCAGACGAGTGCTGGTCTCCTTGCCGCCAGCGCCACCTACTACACCCTCTGACAGGAGGTCTCAGCATCACCCACCTGAGAGCTGCAAACCTGTTGACAACCCTCATAGGGGTTCTGCGTTAGCGTGCCCAGGACCAATTCTACCCAATCATCAGGACACCTAATCGCAAGTATTCCCCTCTGGGTTGCTACCCACAGGGGTTTTAGCTGACTACTATAAGCTGTCTGGATTTAGCAAATACTTCAGCATAAGAACATTTGTGGTGCAAGCCCTCTGCTGGCAATTAAGGATTATGCCTATATGAATGGGTCTATACTGACACTGTGGAACAGTAGTTACATCTCTGATCTAATGGACTGTGATTCTAAGTACTAAGCATATGTGAAGTGAACATATATATATATATATATATAAATAGAAACAGGTTCATTGCTATATGATTGACTGTGATACTGAAGTACTGGGTATGTCAAGTGAACATAATTACCAGTGAAGGAAGCATTGCTATGTGAGCATGACATTGGTGTAACCCTATCATTCCAACTGTTGATCCAAAGTATCTCAACTTACTGCCTCATCCCTTATCACTACTTACTGTAGGTGTAGCAAGCTTAGTTAGGTTGGAAGATGGACCGATGATGCACTGAGCTTGCTTGGCAATATTAACCCTTGCCATCACGTACTCCTGGGCTAGAGCACGTGACTGTTAATGTGTCTCCGCAGCTGAGTTCCATCTTCCTATTAAGTAGATTATTACACATCAGGAGAAGCAGCTGCGACAACATGGGAGAGGACGGTAGGTAGCAGGCCTGGACTGAGGCAAACATTTCTGTACTTTTCTGAATGGGATGCAGCTCACCCTCCTTGGATTAGTGTCATTCCTTTTCATGGTGATGGCAGCCTTCCTGCACCATGGGAAGGCATGACACATTAAAATTTCAAGTAACCCCTGAGGAAGCCAGAAGGCACCCTGGTTGAGAAGGGCTATTCTATGTTATCAATAGGTTCAATCCACAAAGCTAAGACACTTGGATAGGGATACTAATTCTAAAAAAAGTGAGTTATTTGTATTTGAATTCAATGAGATTTAAAAATGTCAGACACATAACTAAAATAAAGATACTTATTCATGTGTCAAAGCTTTGTAAATCGAACCTAATATTTTACACTGATAAAATTAGGTGTACATGACTATAGACACTTGAAATTTAAGACCAACCGGAATAATTTGGTCTATGCAGTCATTTTGCTCAAAGTGTAGTATAATAATTCCAAGCGGCACTCACTCAGTATTCATATATACTTTACCTCTATGGCCAAACTATAATACTCCGCTTCCAAGAGTTGATTTCGCAGCCTTACTACTGCAGCAGGTCTTACAATCTCATGAAGAGAAGGGATGTCCTTATAGGATGCTGCCACTAAAATCTTCAGTAAGTCCACCTTGCTGCTGTAACTATTACACAAAACAAAAAAAATGGGAAAAATGCAAAGCTATGACCTGAAATTACTGTAATTAGAAGACTGTTGAAAAGCATTTTGGTTTGTGATAACTACCTGTCACAAAGGGCAAGGTCATGACTTCTTGCAGCTTTGACAAAAAACATCTTGGCACTAAAGAGCAAATTTTTCATGATGGCCAGAAGAAGTCGACTGTCCATCTCTGGGTTAGTCAACTCCTTTGATAAAAGACAGCAGCGCTCAATGAGCTGGTAACCACATTCATCACTCTTAGAGTGCAAGCTAAGAATGGCTGAGCAGAGTGAAGCACTTGGGGCCTGCAGAAAATAACACAATTTAAGGTAAATAGAAAACCACTATTGAAGAACATATCCAATATGTATTATTTTATTAAAAGGTACAATCATTTATGAAAAATCAAAGTTACCTTATAATTAAATAATTTACAGTCTTGCATACAGGAGCACTAAAACAAAGCCGCAGTGTGCTGTAACTTGGGGTGAATCAGCCTGAGGATTGGCAAGGGAAACACCTAGTGGGAGAACTCTATTTGCCCCTACCGTGCATGCTTTACATATGGTGTTCAGTTGTACACATGGTTTTACTTGATTTAAGCGTTCATTAATACATTGTTTTACACTATTGTGGTCTCTGCTCTTATTGACTTCCATTGAGATATGGATCCTGAGAAAATGCACTTAGAGGAGGAACAGTTTTGCTTGTAGAATACTGCCATGCATGTCCTATAAGGCACTTTTAATAAACATAAATGTAAAAAAGTCTGGTGAGTGACATTTGAATTTAGGTGGAGCTTGTGCACTCACTTCAATGGAGTAATGTCAAGGGAATTAATACTGAAACATTATTGGACACAAGAAAGACTTTCATATTGACACAGACGTTTCAGTATGACTTATTTATGCAACACGTTACTCATTTTATACTGGATATAGGAAAGACTCTGGTTTGTGACGTATGATGGACTTTTGATTTATACAACACTTGTTATTAATTGTGTGGTGGAACTCTTCAAATTTAGCTTTAAAAAGCTTTATTATCAATATATACAGATTTTGTCATATGCACTTATGTCATCAGTGATGGTGGAAACTCTTGCTTTTGTTTATTATTTTATTTACGTAGGGCACGGCTGGAAGCTATATTACATGCAAATGAGAAAAGTTCAAGAAGTGACTTTCACTTTAAAAGTTTGACTCTGGTCTTTGATAGTTACTGACTGTGGGACTGCATGTTAGCGGTCAGTTCAGCTTTCTTAAAAATCTAAAAATAAGGTCAGCGGTGACATATCATTTACCCGCATCATTACTCTAGACCTTCACCAATTTTGATGGCTCTCAAAAGTTTAACATCAAAATTTATATTTCCTGCCGAACAAAAGTAATATATCATATGTTTTGCATTTGCGGAAAACGTTATGTTGGAAAAACCAAGTGCCAGCTACCTATCATAATTGGTGAACATCCTCAGAGAGACTGTGATAACGTTTTATAAATGCTAATATTCGCGCTTGTGGATGGCCCCCCTTTTAATTATAAATAACTGACAGCTGCAGCGAAAAAAACGACAAAGCCAAAAAGCATTGTGGCCAAGAGAGTGTGATAAAGACAGAGACCGTGATAAAGAACTCCATTTATGAAGGAAACAATGACTCCAAGGGGTTTTAAATTGCTTTGGAACAATGACTCCAAGGGGTTTTAAATAATGAAATTAAAGTGACATTAAACCCTCAGATTTTTTAACATAAACCAATACTGTAATGTGTGCCTTACTGTAATCCATGGTTGTTTCCCTTCTCTTTGCTGCTCTTCCTTTTAAATCTGTATTTGTTCTCATGCTCTGCAGAACTTCTGTTTTGCAGCAGGCTGCCTTGTCTCTGGAATGGATACACGGTGTCTGTGTATCCGTTTGTATGGGCTTGAAACCTGAGCCAGCACTACAGGAAGAGGCCCTGAGCTGAAAAGGGAAGTTCTCCCCAAGCATGAGAAGACATGAGGATTTAAAAGGAAGAGCAGCAAAGAGAAGGGAAACAACCATACATTTTTATTATTAATACCGGAATATATAGCTAATAATAATTAGAATAAATGGATGGACAAAAGTGCAAACAAAAGCTGTATTATTTTGTTCAAGGTATACATATTTTGTATATTTAATACAATTCCAAACATTTTTTTACTAAATTATGTTCTTCTGTTTTTCATGATTTGGGATGAGCTCAGGTTCTGACCAAACCCAGTCTAAACCAGAGCTCATCTGAACCTAGAAAGGAGCTCCTTCTGCTGCTACTTGATCAGCTGCAACCAAGGAATCTACCTCGGCCCCACAGCTGCATGTAAGCAAATAGGCAGGATGCTGTGACATAATTTGGCTCATACATCACATGACTATATTTGATCAAGGACATTGACCTAATATGATCATGTGGCCATAAAAGACCAATGATATCGACCCAAGCATCACTTCCTTTTTGTTCATGTGCAGCTACAGGGCAGGGAATGCCCTAGTTCAGAGCTTATTGGACAAGTGGTTCCATGTCTCTTCCAGGTTCAGAAGAGCTTAGGTTCGGTTGGACCCAGTTCAAATCTGAGCTCATCACTTATTCTAATATGTGTAGGCTTAAATATGAATACGTCCGCTATAAATATGTCAGCTCTGTATGGTCAATAAGCAAGTGTGTATATTTTAGACTTCCAGAAAATACGCATTTTCCAGTAGAATAGTTCTAATTCATCAACCAACCTGGGACTTTAATGTACATTAGGGGCCATTGTGAACTGGCTAAGCAGAAAAGATGCGAATCTGTCAACTCAAGGGCTTATTCCCACAGATGTATTGCAAAGCAAATACAAGCTTAAACAGCTGTATTGTCATGTTACATACCTGTTCATAGTAAAACTCTCTCCTCTCCACCTCATTTTCAGCTTCATTTAATGTTAGACACCACTGCAAATCAGCAGCTTTAGACAATTTAAGGACTTCTGATAGATCACGGCCTTCACCTTGTTTTTCTAAATTAAATAATAGAAAATATCAGACATTAAGGGGTTGATTTACTAACCTTATAAACACGCCACGAACATGTATACACCTCTGTAGTGTGTTCCCTCCCAGCATGATCTATTGGTGGAATCTAGACACCTTTGTAGTGTGTACACACCCAGCAGGTGTGTTGTGCAAAGCCCTGCATGAATTGCAAGGTGATGTTGTGTAAATTAGCTCTACATTGTGTTGCTTGAGTTGATGAATGCAGGAATGTAAATGCATGAGCTAACCATTTTTGTCTAAACTGTGAAGCATTATATATGCATGATGTGCATGATTTTTCCATATATGGCATTAGTGGAAATATGCTTTTAGAGACTTTTTGGTTGATAAATATGTTTTGCTGTGTAAAAATCAGACGCACCTAGTGCGTGCGTGTGTTTAGCTTAGTAAATCACCCCCTAAGAGTAAGAATTATTGGAGTTCACCCAATCATCACATTGAAGTTCATGGTTTCCTTGTTTGCACCATTTGGAAAACTGACTGTGGGATCTGGAATGTTAAGTAAGCAAAAAAGGCTCAATTCCAGTTTGCTCTCACTTCCCAGAAACTTCCGGTACTACTACTAGAAAAAAAAGATGCTGGGGTTGGACTTTAAGTAAAAAACAGAAAAAACATGACAATTGATGACATTTACTGTAAGTTTGCATTTGTGGCACTGTTGTCTCCAGCAAAGTGCACCTTTCAGTGATAGATGGTAATGCATGCCACAGCACTTTATATTAAAGATACAAATGTATACATTTAGCCAGGAGGAGGAAGAGGACAACAAAACAGGAATGTGCTTGATTGTTTCAAAGGGAGACCTTTGAAGGACCAACAGGACCAGATTTAAATCCCACAGGGGCTGAGAGGATCTGACAGGGGAAGCCACATGGGTGATACCCTGCACCATTAATCCCAATGAGAGCGTGTAATGTCAGCAATTTCTAAGGGAAAACTGTTGGTCCCCACCCAGCTGAAGGAAGTAGAGAATGCATTCCACGGAGGACTTTCCGTGGAGAAAGTCCTTTCAAGTCAGATGATGCACCTAGTGGTAAGTGAACTCGTGCACATTTTTCATCATACGGATAACAGATTCTGTGATGCCCATGTCCCATAGAACCTGGGCTTCAACAGCCACGCCATTCAACTTTTCCAGTTTGTTGTTAATGCCAAGATGCCAGGGGATCCATGTCTGGCCTCCCCCAATGATGGAAAAAGTCCAGGAACACCTAAGGACCACTTCTCCAGGTCCAGGCACTGAGGGCTAAGATATTGATTGGAGCCAGAATTGGAGCTGCCTTTTGTAAGGCTGGGCACACACCTTACAAAAGATGGTTGTAAGGTAATTAAAAAAACGTACGATCTGCCTATCTTGGACAGGCAGATCGTACTTGTGTTGATCGCAGGCCCGCCCCGCTGAGGGTCGGGCTTCCGTTGACCGCAATGCTGAACGGGCAGTGTGCGATTGCGCACACCGGCCCGTCCGGCTTGTATCTTACGAACATGCTACACACCCACCGAAAACTGTACGATTCTCGGCGGGTTTTCGAACATGTTCGTAAGATAAAAGTCGTGCAACCTTACAGTAGTAGAGGCGCACGGCTTCCACACACCTTACGATAATCGTACGATCGCGGGATTTCCCGCGATTATCGTACCATTATCGTAAGGTGTGTGGGCACCTTAAGGCAGCACATCCCTTGATTGTTTGGTATGTAGTGATGGGCTCGGGCGTGTTTGCAAGCCGAGCCCGCCGGGAAGCTGTCAGCGCGCAGGGCCAAGAGGACACCTTGATTCGGGAGCAGCAGGGATCGGAAGAGACACAGAGCCGATGAAACACAGGCTCCCAGCGGGAGGAGAGAAGCAAGGGATCCAGATGAACTAATCGATAATAAGAATTGCTGAAAACGATTCTCATTATTAACTGAATTGAGTTGTTTCAGACCAATCCCCCAAGCCTGTAATTTAATGGATTTGTGTATCTGCGTAAGCGCCCTCAAAGCCACATAAGGAGGCCCTCTCACGCTGTATATTTTTGCTTTAAAATGTTGGCAATGGTACATGTGGCCAGCTTTTTATACATTGTTTTAGAACAGCTGGCTTATAAGCCCTACAAATGGCCAGAATTTAATAACAAGATTCATCCCCCTCCCATCTGACTTCAATGGGGTTCACTACAAAGTTTGGGATCGTTGAATTGTAAGCACAGTTCATTGGATGGTTTGTGAATTTAACTAGGTTAAATTATCACTAGTCCTATACTGGATTTGGAAAAAGAAAATAAATCCTTTCTTATTTAATTGTTGAAGAATCCAACACTATAACTAGACATTATCCTCCTCCCAGTTACATCCTTCAGATGAACATTCTTCAGCCAAGGGGACATTAACCTACCTTCCCTTTTTATATGCCTGCAGGTGCACCTGAGACCCAAGCTATAGCTCCAGGTCTCCACTAACAAATGGGAACCAATCAGTGTAGTTCCTGATTATGTGAATACTGTGTCAGCTATGACATGGTGTTTGATATCAAAGTAAATGCACACCTCAAGCCTTGTTTGCAATCTGACTCCTCAGGACCTGCAGAGCAGATCCTCAAAAAGTCTGCAGAAGAATGGCATAGAGGACTTAAAGGAGATCTATGAGGTGAGTGCTTTTCACTCACCTCATAGTTCTAGCCGACCTGTGACAATGAGACTGTCACAGGTCGGCTCAGTAGATCGGGAAGTGAGCGAACACATACCGGCGTTCGCTCACTTCTCGATCCTGTCACAGCTCTGTGCCGTGACAGGGGAGTGGCTGGATTCCCTCCTCCCCGCTCCGATCCTCCAGTGCTGACTTTTGGAACGGACGGGGGAGCGGGCGGATACAAGCTGGCTCTGCCTCTAGATAGTCAGAGCCAGCTGTCAGTCACGCAGCTGGGCGCTGTAGCTCGCGGTATACTGAGCTTAGGGTGATGGGAGGACGCTAGTTTGTGTCCTCCCGTTACCCTAAGGAGAACTTTGGGGAAAAGCCCTAACCCCATAGTTCTCCTTTAACTCCATTTCCTCCACAGTTTCTAGCACAGTAGAAGGTGATTTAAAGCTTCAGTTAGCCTTTCTGTGTTTATCTATACAGATTTACACAGTATTCAGACATTGGGTCCTCAGCATATTCCAGTACTTGCATAGTCCATAGAAATAAATGTTAAACGTACAAAATAATGATTACCTTTCATGTGCTCCATGTCTTCCTCTGTTTTGGTATCACTAAAAAAAAGTTTTTTGAATAAGCTTTACATTACAATACTAAGGATAAAAGTAAATAAGCTTAAATTTAACAAACTAAAAGATAAAGTTTAATTATATGTGTAAATGGATAATAGACTGAAATATTGCAATGCACCAGGATGCCAAGGTCTAAATGGACCCCTACTGATATTAATATTCTGAAGCACAAAATGCAGACAGCTGATTTCTTTCCTGTAGTACAAAACTAAATATAACCTTTGCATCATATTTAAATATAAAACTTGGGTTCCAGGTGTATACACCTAGAGGAGTCATTTTTATTCAAATGTGCAAAAAATGGATGCATTCGTACTATATTATTTTGGACATTATTTAATTCACTGCCTAGGGGCTTTACACTGTAGATCATGATGATCAAGCTTGAATGCAGGCGTATATTGTAAGATACCTGAATATTTTTTCAACTTACTTTGTAGAGAAATAATCATGACACTGATCACACACACGAGCTGGGTTTTCTCTGCATTCTTCCACTACCATCTTCTTCATCGAGCAGGAACTGCATACCAGCCTACCACATCGCCTACAGTGATGTCTGCGATTAAACTACAAGATGGATAATACATCATCAGACAGAATACAACTCTGGCTTTGTCACATATTCACAATTGCCAAAAACTGACTGTTTGAGAAGTTTAGTATGTTTTGGAAGTCTAATAAAGGAAATCTGCACTTAAGATAAACAGATTAAAACTGATATAAAGTGATGATGTTTGTTTTACAAATGTAAAAATTGCTGAAAATGTATATAGAGGGCGATGAGAGCGCTGCAGCTGGGACGTATCCCGACAATACTGTCAAGATCCACTCAGCTGGCTGATTGACAGCGGGTCCTGCCTATCTAGAGGCAGAGCCAGTTGTGCCCGCCCCCTCCGCATCCGTTCCTCCAGTCAGCGCTGGAGGATCGGAGAGGGGAATCCCTGTGAGGAGCGGTGACTGACAGTCACTGCTCTCTGCAGGGAGATGATCGGCAAGTGAGCAGATCGGTTTGCTCACTTCCTGATCTATACAGTCGACGTGCAACAGTTTCAATGTCACACGTCGGCTCCAACTAAGAGGATGAGTGTAAATCACTTACCTCATAGTTCTCCTTTAAGCTCTTTCCTTCACTCTCACTGTGCGAACCACTAGGAGCTATCAAAAAAGTAATTCATAGGTGGTACAACACCCCATTTAAAATGTTATGTTACTTTTCAGGCATCTCAGCTAGTTGCTGGAGACAGTGTGGGGATATTGGATCCCTCATTCATATCCTTTGGTTTTGTAGATCGCTGACTTCATACTGAAATTCAGTCTTTAGTTGTTAGAGTTTACATGTACTGATCTGTCTTCGGCATAAAGGGTTTATAGGCTTACCTACCTGCCATTTCGAAATTGGCCACACGATGTAGCTGAAGAAAACCTCTATATATAGCAGCTTAGATTGTCTTCCCTTAATAAAAAAACTTCCAGTATTCCTCTACTGAAAGAGAAGGAAACAAGGGCATTCTGGGAATTCAGCCTCCATTTTAGAACAGAGGAGAAGAGAATCCACTGCCGTCCTAAATATGTGTCTGGAGGAAAGAGCCCAAATTCCCTTTTGGCAACATCGCTGCTATGCAGGGACTTGTTTTGCTGCGTGTTTGTAAGCTGATATTATATTTACATGTTTTAGCATTTTTGCATACACATGCTAAAATCTGAATTTTTGTATAGAAAATTACTTTAAACCCAGCAACATTTATATATTTTCTGAAAGCAAAGGCCTTGTAGAATACAAAAAAAATTATAGCTGCATTTTTTTTATATGTTGCATGATATTTGCGCAGATGTTTATCAAAACAATATTTTCAGAACAAAAACACTTAAAGTGACATTAAACCCTCAGATTGTTTAACATAAACCAATACTGTAATGTGTGCCTTAGTGTAATCCATGGTAGTTTCCCTTCTTTGCTGCTCTTCCTTTTAAATCCTCATGTCTTCTCATGCTTGGGGAGAACTTCCCTTTTCAGCTCAGGGCCTCTTCCTGTAGTGCTGGCTCAGGTTTCAAGCCTATACAAACTAATACACAGACACCGTGTATCCATTCCTGAGACAAGGCAGTCTGCTGCAAAACAGAAGTTCTGCAGAGCATGAGAACAGATACAGATTTAAAAGGAAGAGCAGCAAAGAGAAGGGAAACAACCATGGATTACAGTAAGGCACACATTACAGTATTGTTTTATGTAAAAAAAATCTGAGGGTTTAATATCACTTTAAGTGAATTTTAGTGCACACAAATACAATTCCCACTTTTTGGTAAAAAATAAAAGATGGGGTCAGGTTGTACAAATAGATATCAACTAAGTCACCAATCTGATGTTTCTTGAGCTGCTCCTGCTCTCAAAAACCACACAAAAACCCAAAAATCACAGCAGGGCAGGGGGTCAGCACATTAGCAGGTTGCTAAAAGTGATCTTGGCGGCATCACTTTTAGTTAACAAGCATCGTCTGCTGAAAAAGACGATACCAAGATCATGGCTGCAGCCTCCTGTTTATACACAGCACTATACCAATAGGACTGGTATAACCACCATACAAATAGGATGAGGACATTCAGTATATGTATATCTGGCGGTCCTCAAGTGGTTATGTATTAAATAATACAGGGCCGCATAAATATGAGTTTTTTATATCTGCCTGGAGTTCAGCTATAACACAGTAGTAATTAGTCTTTAGAGCATGTGCAATAACCCCTCTAAACATTTTCATTAACCCCTTTACAGATCACTCCCCAGTGTATAAGCATTAACCCTTTATTGATCAGTCTTCAGATTATGTGTATTAACCACTTTCTGTCCACCCATTGTAATTAAACCGACAGATGGCTCGCAGCTGAGGGCGGGTAAGGCTTTTTTTTTTACTGCTCTCACATGACCCCTAGTGCACGTGAGCATGTAGCTTTGAACGCACTGTCCAGTTTGCAAAATGAAGGTACAGAGCCAATCAAATTGGCACTTATAAATCAACCTAATTGACACTTTTAGGCAGCATTCGGTTATAGCAAGTTCAGCTAAGCACAATAAACTTCATATTATCCTCCAATAAGCCAGACTGTAGGAACAAATTTCTTTGTTAAAAAAAAAGCTTTGTTGAAAGAACAAGGTGAGTGAAACTATGAAGTAAATCAGAAATATAAAAATCAATTACATTAAATAAAACAAACAGTACACTGCTAAGGATGTGGCAAACAAAACAAAAAAGAAGCTCATCTTAAATGCACCTTTTAAGTATACCTATCCACTAAGGCATGTACACTACAGTATAATACATTTAACTGAAGTCATCAAGCTATTTATGGGTTCCTCCAAGTTACTATTCCCCAATAAGTGTTAAGCACATATGAAATATGATCATAACACACGGTACAGCAACTGAATAGTTAAAACATTTTTTTCTCTTCTTTTTAACATGACAGTATAGTAACACTCACCATAGTGAACCTCTCATTCTTACACACCATGCAGATAACTTCAGTGTCATCTGGAATCCACTGCATTTTTGATGGAGGTTTTTCGGGAGGTATAAACTCTGGGGAAGGCTTATTTCGCCTTTGGCATTTATCAGGAGTACCTAAAGTAATATGTTACATAACAGTCAATAAGATAAAATGTATTTGCTGCCACATTTCAAGTTCATAAAAATAACATTTGCAATGAGGCAATGGGAAACTAAATGGCTAAGTTTTATTACTACAAGTCACAGAAAGTTTATCCAATAAGGTTCAGAAATCTGGGAATTAGTTTCTTTATATATTCAGGGACAGCACTGTCTCCAGCAGCTGTTCATCTATTAGCTTGGAAAAAGGAGAAGGGAGCATGGAGGAGCGGTGTAACTTGCCCTGCTGTATCTGTGTGTTTGTGCAAGCACATAGCCTTATAAGGGTCTTATGGAGCCACCCTTCCATGTAGGATAGCTCCATAGGACCCTACAAGGGAAAGGAGGCGCCCTAAAACAGGACCAAATCATTCTGCAGCATTCATTTTAAGTGATTAAATCAGCATTTGAAATAGCTTAAAAACCTTTTTACTTTAATATTACTTTAAGAACATATTGTGATCTTAACTCATTAAAACATGATGGTATGGGTATAATAAATATTTTTGGGGGATGCATCTACTTTAGGACAATTACATTCTCTATTACTATAGGTCTGGCTCCATTGTAGCAGAAACACCTATCATAGCATTGTGTTGTAACTACAGTTCATACAAGCACTGCCACCACAAATTTACCAGCCCACAGCCTGTTGTTACACTGTACCAGCAAAGTATTAAAGGAGAACTATAAGGTGAGTGATTTTCACTCAACCTCATAGTTCGAGCCGACGTGTGACAATGAGAATGTCACACGTCGGCTCAATAGATCGGGAAGTGAGTGAACACATAGCGTCGCTCGCTCACTTCTCGATCATGTCCCTGCAGAGAGCTGTGACTCTCGCTCACAGCTCCCTGCAGGGTCCCCCCCCCCCTGTTCCGATCCTCCACTGCTGACTGGCGGAACAGACGGGGGAGGGGGCGGGTACAGCTGGCTCTGCCTCTAGATAGGCAGAGCCAGCTGTCAATCACGCAGCTGGGTGGATCTCGACAGTAATGTCGGGATCCGTCCCGGCTGCCTCAGTATACCATGAGCTCGCGTTATACGGAGCTTTGGGTCACGGGAGGAAGGTAATTTATGTCCTCCCGTGACCCTTAGAACTATAGTTCTCCTTTAAAGATAATTTCTGGAGTTCAATCCACACAGCATGGCAAATATACCATCAACTGCTATCCATAGTACAGTAATCACAGTACCTTTTCTTGGTGTTTCACCAATACACTGAATAAGATATGATTACATAGAGGTTTTACCTCTTATTTTAAATCTGTTAATTTTGTTTTTATATCCTAAATGCCCCTTGTTCCAAAAGTCTGTGACCAATTGTTTGAGGGCGTGTTAAAAATGAAGGGTATGGGGGCATGTTTTGGGGGTGTGATTATAGCAGGTATGGCAAGTATGGAGTCCCCAAATTTTATTTTGAAAATCTGGTGACCTTATTCTAAAGCCTAGCCTAATCCTAAACAACCTATACTCACCTATTTTACCACCTAAGCAGCTACAAAAAACCAGAGCTGTAGCTAGCTCCTTTTGCACCCGAGGCAAGAACAGAAAATTATGCCCTCCAACAGACGTGTGCGGTATGTGACGTCATGCGTCCCACCTCCAGGATGTGTTGACGAAACTAATGAAACATTTTTTAGTCTCTGTTTGTTTCGTCCGAAACTAATTTTTAGTCTTTGCACATGTCTAGGAATATATGTGCATTAATGTGTGTGTGTTTATTTTGTATTATTTTTTTTTACTTTTTGGGGGGCTGAGGGGAAATATCAGGGGTCTAAACAGAACCCTGACATTTCGCCTTTTGAAATAGAAAAAGAGATTGAGGACAGAGTCCTCTGCCTATACAGGTGGGGGAGAGCAGCGGGGGGATCCTAGGAGAAGCCTGTACCGCTCCTCTTCTCCCTGCCGAGTCACGGCTGTGTTGGTCGCCTGGCACCCCCTGTTGCCAATTGTGCCCTGTGCTCGCCATGGCGACAGGGGGCGAGGGGGCGCAGCCAGGCAGGCCCTGGCTGCACCCCCACACAGCTGTGCCTGAGGCGAGTGCCTCACTCGCCCCATGGTAGCTACAGCTCTGCAAAAAACTGTCAGATGATTACTTGTAAACAGCTCAGGGTTCTCTCTACTCTGATACGTGAACAATAAGTGACGTTCGGGTATAACATGATCTATGCCAAAGAGCAGTGTTTTCAAGAAGACCCATTACTGGTTGACTCTAAAAGTAAACCTTTTAAAAATAACTTGTCAGCTGTAGATGTGTGTGTGTACGTTTCATCAAGGCAGTCAGGAGTTTCAGGAGTTTCTGACAGGTTATTACAAACGTTTCTGCAGCAGCTTAGGTAATAGGACAGCAAAGGTGTAAAACAAGTTCGGTGAACGTTTAGTTTTGCTTTAAAATGAAGCATGCACAATATACACATTAGTATTAAGTAATTTAATATCTAGATGAGCATGAGTTAACCAAGTTTCTGTATATTTTGGCAACTGTATAATTACACTTGATACTAGGATACATAGATGAAATTGTATAGGCATATTACTAACAAGCAAGAGCTGGAAGGACATTTTGCAACTAATTAGGATAATTGCCAACAGGTCAGATTGATGGGGTATAAAAAAAGCATCTTAGAGAGCCCAGAGTTTTAGAAGTAAAAATGGGCAGAGGTTCACCACTCTGTAAAAAGCAGCGTCTACAAATTGTCAAACAATTTCAGAATAATGTTCCTCAATGTAAAATTGCAAAGACTTTAAATATATCACTAGTCCCAGTACATAATAAAATCAAAAGATTCCAAGAATCTGAAAAATCTCTGCGCAAGTGGCAAGGCCGAAACGCAATACTGGATGCCACTGAACTTCAGTCCCTCAGACAGCACAGCATGAAAAACAGGCATGATTCTGTGACGGACATCAAAGCATTGGCTCAGGAATACTTCCAAAAACCACTATCTATCTGTGGACACAATTCTCCCTGCCATCCAAAAATGCAAGTTAAAGCTCTAACATACAAAGAAGAAGCCATATCTGAACATGATCCAGAAAAGTCGCTGTCTTATTTAGGCCAAAGCCCATTTAAAATAAAATGGTCTGTTGCAAAGTGGAGAACTGTTCTTTGTCAGACAAATCGAAATTTGACATTCTTTCTGGCAACCATGGGAGCCGTGTCCTCTGCACTAAAGAGGAGAGGGACTTTCTGGCTTGTTATCAGTGCTCAGCTCAAAAGCCTGCATCTCCGATGGTATGGGGTGCATAAGTGCGTATGTAATGGACAGCTTGCCCATCTGGAAAGGCACCATCAATGCTAAACGATATATCCAGGCTATAGAGACGCATATGTTCCCATCCAGACAACGTCTTTTTCAGGGAAGGACTTGCATATTTCAGCAGGACGATGTTAAACCGCATACTGCATCTATGACAACAGCATGGTTTCGTAGTAGAAGAGTCTAAGTGCTTAACTGACCTGCCTGAAGTCCAGACCCTTTACCAATTGAAAATATTTGGTGCATCTTGAAACACAAAATACGACAAAGAAGACCCAGGATTGTTGAGCAGCTAGAATCCTATCTCAGGCAAGAATGGGACAACATTCCTCTCCCTAAAACTCCAGAAACTGGTCTCCTCAGTTCCCAGATGTTTACAGAGTGTTGTTAAAAGAAGATGGAATCCTACATTGTGGAAAACATGGCCCTGTCCGAACAGAGATGTTCTTTGCCATCTCTGCCATTATTTTATAATAACCTTACATTTTTTTCATAAAATAGTACATTTTCTCAGCTTAAAGGAGAACTATGAGGTGAGTATAGCTGGCTCTGCCTCTAGATAGGCAGAGCCAGCTGTCACTCATGCAGCTGGGCGGATCCAGACATAATTTTCGGGATCCGCTTCAGCTGCCGCTTGCGGTATACTGTGGTGTCTCAGTATACCGCGAGCTGTAGCTTGAGGTATACTGAGCTTAGGGTGACGGGAGGACGCTAGGTTTGTGTCCTCCCGTTACCCTAAGGAGAACTATGGGGAAAAGCCTTAACCCAATAGTTCTCCTTTAAACATTTGATATGTTTTCTATTTTCTATTGTGAATAAAATATGTATTTATGAGATTTGCAAATTGCATTCTGTTTTTATGTAGATTTTACACAGCGTCCCAACTTTTTTAGAATTGGGGTTGTAGGTTAAGCATGTGCTTGTGGTATTTGAGACAAAATATATTCCTACATTGCATTATCTCAGATAAAAGTAAGGTCTATAAAAGTAAGGTCTATGAAAGAAAAAAAAAACATTCCTTACCAACAAAGGGTGTAGGAGGTAGCTGGTCTGCTTGTGAGGATGAAATTACTGTTTCTAGTTCTGCTGACTGGCTGCTGCTTTCTGGATTTCGATTCACAGAATCTGAAGAAATTATAATTAGCACATCAATGCCCATGCAATGAGTTACAGCGTGTTGGACAAGAAGAAACAGTGGATGTAGCATGACAAGAGCACCGGTTGGTAATAGCAGGAAACAAAGTTATGCAGAGATATAGAAAACAGATAAAAGCATTCTATTGTATGACAAATTATTAATCCTAAAATTTAGCTTGTGAGTATGGAAGCAACTATTATGCTGACCATACACAAGCCATTTAAAAGGTAACTTTTCATCAGTTTTAAGTTGAAAGCAAACACAAAATTGAATGGTGCACAGCAATATTTCAATAGTTATAATTTTCCAGTGGCTAAACAACCAAAACTGTGGTAGAAAGAAATTGAAATGCCAGTTGTATATATTAGGTCTCGCAAGGAAAAGGTCTAAATCC